AACGTAATTAAATAATGCGTGCACGAGGTTATGTGTTATAATAATATGTGTGTGTGTGTGTGTGTGTTTGTTACCCTGCGTAGTGGTATCGTCGCGGGGCGCGCGCACAAAGGGTGTGACGAATTCGGTAATTAATATTTTTTTTCTCTCCATCCGCGCGCCGCTCCGGAACTTTTAAGTATTCCGACTTCGGGTGCGACGCGTCCACAATGCATACGATCGCAACATAATGGAAGTGTGTATTTCCACCGGCATTCGTCGTCGGCAACCCGATAAATCTCGATCTATAATACGACTATAGTTTACAAGCGTACACGTATATTACAGATAATGAGAACACGATTTAGGTGCACGTTACGATGTAGGTTTTAACTTTCCTTTCATCGTTCGGTATGCGCGCGGCAGGTATACGTCGTGTGTATCGTGAGAACCGAATCGATCCCCTGCCGGCCTTCCGCGCGCCACTAAAACGCCAATAATATTCGGGGTAGGTCGGAATTTTCGACACGTCATGAGCTGTATACTCCCTATCTGGTACAGGTCAGGTTGGTCACATAATAATAGATACGTATATATACACTCACGCACGCAATTGACTCGGACGTCGCATTTAACTTCACGAAACGAAGTAATAACTATAAATTACGCATTGATCATTATTCACGGTCGAAAAATAATCGTCAATTTTATTTTCGTTCGTTGTTGCTTATCTAATTGTCAGCGCTGTACGGCTATTGGTTTTTTTATTCCGAGAATAAAGAATCGAGTACGCGCGTCACAATTAAAAAACGCTACGGCATACGTTAACTGTGTGTTTATTTCTATGTGTTGATGAGTTGCAAAAGTACTTTGATTTTAGTAGAAATATTGCACGACGAAAGAGTAATTTTATGTGTTATTTAAAAAAATGGGTTTCGAAATTATTTGTTTTTTTTTTATTAACCTTATACAATATCGTAAGTAGTACGTACGCTTAACTTCTTAACGGGTTGACGAACGTCGATTTATTCCGCGTACGACTTAACGTTAAATGAAGCCAAGAATATACGCACTTGGCGCAATGGTGTGGAAAAACTATAGACACAGAAGACGCGAGACGAGACGATCATGATGTAATTAATATACATGTGCATTACACACATCTGACCGCCGTAATAAAACAACAACTGCAACTCTAAACAGCCGTGATGAAATGCAATTAATCGGACGTTTGACGCCAAAGCGTATTCCATGCTAGCGAAGTGTATTTGTTTTTCGGTCGTTTGATTTGAATTTAATTTTTTCTCATTCCTAACCGCCCACGGGTTAATAACGTACGTTCGTTTTGCGGTTAAATTTCACGTCGCTCCCGTGCGGTCTACCCATTAAGTCCGCACGAAAATTGCAACGACACGTACGCAGACGCACACCGCTATAGGTTTTACTTTGCTTTTGGCGATTTTTATATGGATCGCGCACAAAATCGCAGCGGCTACTCGTCCGACGGCCGTCGATCGCAATCGTCGCGTTGCGCAGATTTTTCCGCGTCGGCAACAGTCGGTTTCGATGTTTTGTTTTCCAGACACCCGTGTGGACACACCGAACAGTATTATTATCACGACAACGGAAGCGTTGGGAAAATCGGTGTATTCGACTACATTTTTCGACGTTTCCATATGGCACGTGCACGCGTTTCGGTTTACATAATATTTACGCGTACGGCGCGAGCGATAATAAAAATAAAACATTGTTTTTCGAGAGTTGAACGAACCCGCGGTAAATATTTGTGTTTCGGGACGCGACGCGACGGAGGGGAGGGACGATGAGGTGGCGAAATCTCGTACGCTCGACTCGGACGCGATCCCTAACAGCAGCAGCAGCGTTAATGCACGGGATATAAATGTTTATTGCGATACACGCGCGCACCGTTGGCAAAGGGTTTCGGATGTTTTCCTAAACGGTCGCGACTCGCGAGGAGTGATACGTGCCACGTGCGGTGTCACGCGGCCAAATGATGTCATCGTCACAAGTGGTCGTCTCGTCCCGCTACTATGATGATTCATCCGGGCGATACGCGCGCACGCGAGACGCAAACGTCGGAAGAAAACAAACGGAAGGGAAAAAAAACGGTTATTTTTACGTTTACAAAACGATGTGATACATTATACGCAACGCGTTAGTCATCGCGTGGCGTCGTTTTCGGATGTGACGACACACTGTGGGTTTTCGAGAAAATGTTTAAGCCCAAAGGTACCATGAGCGGACGTCGCGAACCCTCCGCCGAACGGTGTACAAAGCGGATTCGATCGAGATACTGATAAAATCGGGCGAAAAATTGTTGAATGTGCGGTCCGAAAAACCGAAACGTAAAGGGTTTCGAAACTCGCATGTTCGCAACATCACATTTGAACGCGTAAAAATAACTGAAAATAACGTTTTCGGTTAGCACATCGCAACTGATGTTGCTCGACGACCGTAAAGCACAAAACAAAGCAATCACAGCGCGAGAGTTCATAACCATGAGGTAGTTTTGAAGTACATATAAGCGTGGGCAGACTTATGTTTTAGAGAAGGTGCCTACAATGCATTCGGGTCCCATCTTAACGAAACGTTCATGTATATTTAATCTGACTATAATGTATGAATTATTAAATAAACATAACTTCAATTTTAATATTATGCGGTACGTCGGTCCCGATCAACACGTTTTCCTTGAATCTTGTACGTTTTGCTTAGATGTCTTCAATTGTTTACGATTTGTATATTTATAGACATAGTAACTTGTTACGTAATCAAAAGAAATTTTTGCACGAATATTTCGTAGTAAATGTAGGAAGTATTACTATTACGAACGTTTTTTATCGAATATTTTAGAACGGATCGCATTCTATATTGGCGATATCGATCGAAATACGGGTTCCTCGCTGTTACGCGACTGAAGTCATAGGGCCTCGTCTAACTAAGATGGGTGCCCGAGTGCACCAATCGTCCTACTCACGCACGCCAGGTCTAATTCTAACGGACACCTTATAAAAATATAATTTTCCTTTTTTTTACCACGCGATGGTCGAAATTCTAAAATACCAATGTACAATTTATTTGGGGAGGAATTAAGTATTATAATCGAAATAAATTTCATAAAATTTTCAGTGTGTTTTGGCAGAAGGTAAAAATCCTTAGAATAAGCCCTGGCGCACGCCCTTGCCTAAGCGGACCCGTGAGGGTTTTTACCGAGTGCCCGTGCGTTAGTGACGTACGTTAGTGACGTACGCTAGCGACGTGCACTCGAAACGCGAACGATCGTTACGTCGGTGAGTACCGTCCCGTCGACGCGTTTTACAATAGTTTCCGTGCGCGTAACGCGACGGAAGGGATTTATCTTTAAAACTCGGTTTTCCGCAAAACTTTCCGGCCTCGTCATCGCCCCGATGAGTAATCGCTCACTCGTCGTCTCGATAACGTACACAAGCCACTCCGCGCGCGCGCTCGAGCGAAACGGTAATACGTCATCGCGTTCCGTCGGATCGACCGGACGGAAGTAGTACTGCCGTCGGCGAATGTCGTTTACGTCGAAGCGTTTTCGTCGTCCGTTATCGCCATCGTGTACGGATTCATTGCTGGCAGTGCTCGACTCGGCAAAATTAAATAAATTACTTTTTAAAAAAAAAGATAGTCCCCAAAATGTTTGTAAGTCATTATAATTATATAATTATATAAGTATACCATTTCTTGGGAACTCAGATATATAATTTAATGCCTATCCATATAGCTAATATGCCTTTACCTGCTTTTAAAAAACACATTTCCCATTGGCTCCAATATGAATATAATGCGATTAAAATTTAAAATATTTTAACCATTCAATTTATATTTTATAATTTAATATCATATAGGTAATATTATTATATTTGTATTTCATTCTGTCTTATATCTCTCATGCTATATTTTAGATATGTAATATTTAATTTAGAATATTTTAAATTGATAACCCGGGGCCTCCACACGAGTTTTCTCAGTGAGGCCCAGTAATCTTTTTGATTTCAAATAAAAAAAAAAAAATAATAATAATTATAACGTAAAAATAGTAGGGAGACGCTAAAACTTCTGAAAATCAGTCGGAGTGCTCTGTCCTTCTGCGTCCCCCCTCAAGTCGAGCATTACAGGTCCACCGACGTTTAACGACCCGGTACAACGCAAAGGCGTCCGTCGTCGATAATCCAAGTGCGATCGGTGGCTGTCTGCGATCGTTATCGATGGGTCTGTAATAATTATCAATATCTATGATTCCCGAAATTCGTTCTCCCGCGCGGTGGAGTTTCGTCCAAGATGAAGTGCTAACAAAATGAATACAATATGTATAATGTATAATAGACACGGAAGAGCCAGACGAACATGCCTTTCCCCTGATGAACGACCTTGGTACAGTTTATACTACCGTGTCGAAACCTTGTCCGCTAATCAGTTTTTTATATTTCACCTCCATCACTCCCTCTCAATCCCTTACAACCAGCACACTTGTCAACTCGACATTTTGTTTTTGGATCGCCTAATTTTCACATACGTGCATAAAATAGTCGTGTGCAACAGTTTCGGAGACAAATCGAACTATCTACGCAATGTCTCCAGACGAAAGCTAACCGAACATAAGATTCGTACGCGTTCAAACACGCAAAAACGTATCAGCTGCGCGTAGTCCACTACAGTGTGTATACGTTTATACGGCGGCACGCATAAGCGTAAACAATTACACGCGATATTATTCATTTTAAGTCATTTATTTATTATTATTTTTTTTTTCCCCCCGGTCGTCTTTAAGACTTAAGTGTTGTCCGAAACGCCGCGCGGTGACAAGTCGGCTCTTTTACGCACACGCGAATAATCGTCGGCGTAATCCTCCGTCGTGCAGACCGCTTATCGCCGAGAAATTTATATCGCAAAAAAAACATACACACGGTCGTATTATATTCAAATATGTACGTATGAAAAAAAAAAAAAAAATGAAATGAAAATAAAAAACTTGCCTCTGAGTTGATTGGCGAACATCCCGACCGGCAACAGCAACCAAACGACGGCGGCGGCAATTATTCGGCAGCGGTCCATGGCGGCTGGTCAACCTGAAAGCAATAAACCCACACGAATTCAATTACACCGCTGCTAATGCTAACACGCTCGGAGCATGTATAGTATTACTGCGTTCAAAGCAACTCTTTCTAATCACGTGTACATGTACGTAAAATCTTTCGCGCGACAATGCGAATCACTCGTTTAGATTCGCATTTTTAAGATTATTATTATTATTATTATTATTATTGAGATTGTCCTGTACGGTACGGGTCTGGTATTTCGACGTTCCGAGAAGCTGCGGTAGGACATGGGGTCCGGTGGAGATTAAAACGTCGGTGACGGTAGTGCTTTTTAGCTGACACGGTGAGTGGTTTTTTTTTCATTCTCGTTTCGTTTCACATAACAGTCGCTATATGTTATGACTATGGAGGAACGGTTTAAAAATTATTTATTTATTTATTTTTTTTTTTTGTTATACAAAACCGTAACCCAACACTCCCGCGCGAGCAGTAGTAGGATACGTTGAACTTGTGAACACTATTATTTTCGTTGTTCGACGCGCGCGCGCACCACTGTGAGAAACGGATTTCGTGAATAATGGCTTAACTACCGCGTGTACCTATGTGTTATACACAATACACGCATACGTATAAATATAACACATTAACGCAAGCACAATGTAACATAATAATAATAATAATAATAATAATAATAATACACACAGTGCGTATTAAACACACGAGAATAATTACTGTATTATTGTACCCATCTGGTTGCGACCGAAAAACGCGTATATCTCTTTATAAATTACATAAAAGAAAGTCGCTTTTCTTTGTTCGGGGTTAATCTCCAAAACCGTACCACTGCGCATGACTCGATGCGATCGAAACTTTCACCGTCGGCTAGGTACCAAGCGTGCGTTTCGAACGTTCCCATTCCGAAACGAGTTACGCTCGATTTCCCAATTCGGTTCCCGCAATCGTTTTCCCTTCAAGTTCAAAGCTGTCGAGTTCAACTTCGTCCGCTAATACATTCAACTGATATTCGTATTCACCGTGATCAGACTGCACTACACTACGATGTCAACAAAAGTTTTATTCCGCAGCTGTTGTAGCCCGTATTAGTCACGTTTATGAAAATAAAAATGATGTTCGCGAAAGGATGGACCGACCGAACTGAACACGCAAAACCCATCATCTCATAATTGGACAAAATATTCAAGTTTCGATGTTTGGCTCGACGAACACGAAATTTTTTCAAAAAAATAAAATTTATCATACCCGCCTTGGCTGTCGAATTTCATACGTCTGTTATTTCTTATCGAAAGCAAAGGTATATATTTGTAAAAATAAATCTTCGGCTATTGAGTGAATATATAATACGTTACGTATATACCTGTTGAATTTAGGTAATACATCAACCGTTTAATCGTACCTAATACGAAAGCTAAATAATCATTACCTTCTTTGAACGTGACACGTATAGACATAATAAATATATAATAAATATGAATATAATACGTCAAAGAATATACATTGAAAATATTGATGAATTGATGTATTGGTATTTAATTCGATTTCGAATGAAACTTATATGGTAAACTGTTATTTATTATTATTATTTATACCAACATAAAAACATTTAATTGATTTTCCAGGGGCGTAACGTATAATAAAGCTTTAACAACGGCCTTGTTGGTCGGGAATAAACCGTACAATATTTCATTGCGCGTAAACATTTCGCATTGCGTTAAGCGCAAAATCGCTAAACTACTGGATCTTCTAGTAAAATATTTAAACGATTCCGTCGATGGTCATAAATCAAAAACTGGTCTAATTAGTTCTCGGCCATGAATATTGTAACTTTTTACCAACCATTATATGGCGCGAACAACGATTCGTACGGACGTTTTTATGTCTACCCGTGACGTTAAGATATGCATCAGCCGAGTTAAATGTTTATAGATTAAAAATAATAATCTCGTTCATTACGTAATTGAAATATAATATAAAAAAAAAAAAAAACGAACGGTCTTCGGCTAATTAACATGTCAACGGTCGAACAACGCGTGGGTACACCGTTTAAGTAAGTAGGTATGGAAATGATAAAATGAAATGGAGAACACAACAAACGAATATAAATACAGCGGAAACGATGGATGGGTTCCACGCGCGCGGTTACGACGCGGTCAAATGGTTTTTTTTTTTTTTTTTTTTGTAAAAATAAGTTGTACGGAATATCGGACTATATACAGATTAAACGAACAGCGTTTCAATCGCGTAAACATGTTCTACGTTCGGCAACAACTTGGTCTTGTTTCCGAAATTTTCGTTCGAATAAACAAAATAAATCAATTCACCACACAGCCATGCATGCGCTTCTGCACTGCGTCGCAAATATACACACACACAGCGTCGGATGATTTCCCGATCGAACGCAAAGTTTTTGTTATTGTGATATAATGTGGGAACGAGGATGCTTTCGCGGATCGTTCGCTGTGTTCATGAATAATCTAACATATTGTGTTCGTCCGACGACTGAGAAATTCGTCTGGGGCGACGATGATCGATGACCGCATACGATGATGTATTGTTGTGTATACGTACAAAAAACGGTTTTTTATTCCAAAACTAATTTTCAGTTTTTCGCATAAATAATTACAACAATAATAATAATAGTAATAATATCAATGATAAATATTCGTTAATTATGGTGATATGCGCGTCGGGCGGTGCCGCCGTTCGAGTAATACGTTGTATTATTATTATTACTATTATAATACATAAAATATAATATACTCGACGTAATAATACGACGACGGTTGTTCGGCTAGGTCGCCGCATTAGAACGAAGAAATGAAAAAAAAAAAAAAAAAAACAAATCGCTTATTATTAAGTCGCCGTGGTCGTTGTACATTGTGATTCGAACGGAATTCATTTAACCGGTATTTCATTGCACAAGCAGATATATGTATAGAGCCAACGCTCTAGTTATAAGATATTCGTATTCGAAATTAACTATGGTAAAATATGCAAATAAGCGATTCTGTGCACATCGCGTCGAAACGCACGCACGAATCGTTTTTCTGGTACACGAAAATTAGAAGAACCCATATACGACGATGTACAAAGAATAGATTTTTATTTTCTACAACACGTACACGCAATGAAACACGAGCAATTATTATTATAGTATGATGGGTGCGTTTTCCAATCGCGCACCGTACACACCGACGGCTACTCGGGTGCAACGGCGAACATTGGCAAGTCTTGAAAGTCGATGGTACACAAGTGACTGCAACGAACGTGTGCATCGAATAATCGGAGGATATGTGTACACACCGAACAACGGTTGTTGTTCTCTCTTAGCTCATAAGTTCTGGAATAAAAGGACGTAAGCGTGGTAAACGATTTTTTTTTTTTTATCAAAAATTATAATAATGCGTCCGCGGACCCGTTAAGTTTGTCCACTACTAGTCCTCGACATCCTTGAATTTAGAAACAATCTAACGTAAACCGATTCCCGGTGTCCTTACAGACGGGAAAAAAATATTGAAAAACGTTCTGATGTACGACTTCGGTGCCCGGAAAAGAAATAGAAAAAAAATAAATACATTTGAATATGACGTCGGATCGAATTCTCACGCCGACAATAACATTATTATCGCCACCGAGTGCAGTTTGATTCTTTTTTAATCGGAGATTACTTTTTTTTTTTCTAATCGTGTCACGGCCGCACGCAACACCTACACGTCCGTCCAATCGTTTGGCGCGCATTTTTTTTTGCCGATGTTTTGCGACTAAATACGCGAGTGATCACAAATAACACAAACACGCAAATGGCTATATTTTTTAGGACTACGTCTGAAACGTTATAATAATACGACAACGCTGATAACGAATTGGAATATTTCCGTCTGCGGAACGTAAAACATTAACCGCTTGGGCATAATGCGAAACAATAAATCGCATATTATAAAACGTTGCGCGGGGCCTAATGACAACCGTTCGCGCGTTTTCGAGCCATCGTTTGCTGGTGATTTTTTTCTATTTTTCGTTGTTTACAAACGATTATTCTGAATACGATCGGTAAGTGTACAGAATCCTATTTTGCTGTGTATAACGTTTATTTATCCAAGAGACGAAAAAAATAAATAAATAAATCAAACTTTTGGCGAAGAAAAAAAAAAAACCAAGCGTATAACATATAGTTTGGATCCATCGCTTTTGTCGAATGAAACCGACACAATTTACTTGTTACGTTTTTTTCACGGGATTCGTTAACGAAACAATGATTTATCAAACCTGAACGCGTCACCACGAACACGTCACTGCACGGCGATCGTTTATGTTCGTCTCGATCAGTCGTCAATTCAACCGCACCAAGACGAAGTGATTTATTCTCGTATGCGGGAAAACGAGCGTTACAAGTTTCGGTAATCTTTACGCAGGATTTTTATTTTTATATTCGTATTCCTAACGAAGTTCGACCCGATCGCGCCAAACAGTGTGCTGCTTCACGTTCATCACATAGTATGACAGCGTCTAGTCATACGGCGGTTTAGCGATCGGTTCGCCTCAAAAGCGACAAAACACATAAACGTACAACGTTCGCAATCTACTGCAGGGCCATGGACGTATACCGCGACAAACGTACGGACTCTCATGTACAACGAAGGCATACGCGCGTACGTCTGACAATTCGAAGACGCAAAACTCCTATCACCGTAGCGCAGCGGTTATCGTTCGGCAATACAAGACCGCGGGAGGTTTCCATTCGGACGCGGGTTCAGAAAATTCACCGGTATTATTACAACATCCTTCATCGTGGCTTGTTCTAAGGATTTATACCTACTGCCCAAACACACCGAAAAGTTTGTTTTATGACATTTATTTGGATTACAATACTTGCCCCTTCCGAGTATATTGATATTTTAGAATTTTGACCATCGCGTGGTGGTAAACTATTAAAAAAAATACGGATCTTTACGTATACCACTGTTTCAATTTAAATTTCATAGATTAATCAATCATCGAAGTAGCAAAGATTG